CTCATATATTTATTATACCATGTCCACACAGACGTGCTTCAGCCCAAGCCATCATCAGTTAGTGTGTGTGGTGTGAACAACAAAGAGATTGCTTTTAAACATCACAGGTCAACCCCATTAACATCCAATCAGCAACGTTAGGTGCATCAAGTTACCAACATTTTCTGAGTCGGTTATGCATTTAACCAAAAATGTGGGGTAGGGGAGGATGTGTTTCATAGTAACAGATGAGTCTTCACATGGTTATAAACACTGGAGAGGAGCTTATCAGATTATAACAATGAGCTAAGTATGTCTGTGGATGATCACCGTGTTTTCACGTCTAGTCTTGAAGTGTTGTTATGATACAAGTAAACTTTTGAATTGTTGGCTTCAGTAGTCAAATCCAACACATATTTTAAAGACTAAGCACTGGTTCTCCTAGTGGTTAATGCAATACTTATGTGCAGATAAATTCAACACTTGCATTAGGGGTCCTCATTTATCCGCCATCCCCAAAATATGCTGGCACAGCCCAGAGAAAGTCAAAAAGCTTTTAAATGTTCTATCGCAGCAGAAAAGAGCTAATGCAACTATTGAACAGCTGAGTCAGCAGACTTGTTGTGTGTGTGAATGGCAGAGAGACGTCTACAGACTGCAGTATTGGTTGTTTCTCAAAGAAAAAATTGAATAAACTCTACTGAACTCTCTGAGCTAGACCTGATACGAATATCCAAAATTGGATTTGCAGTTTGACAAAAACAAACTATTGCATCATTTGTTGACATGCATATGTCATTAATTATTATTGACTTTGTTGCCCTACAACTAAAAATTTAGTACAGATTTTGTCTGAATTACATTGCAACCAAAATTAAGTGTGTGATCTGCCTTACATATGACCCACAGAATTTAGCTCCATTATGCTTCTTTAAAGAAAATGTCTCGGATACGTTAGGGTTAGGGTTGGGTTTTATATTGGTTGATAGAGTTGTTTTCACAGTTCCCTTTCGTTCTGGAAATTCTACGTCTCGTCGGAAGAGTTTCCCACGAATTGGAATCACACTAGGGAGACCAATTGCCAGTGCATTAAAACGAGCCAATGAACATTAGCATGCAGGACATGCATTCCACACCCCTCCTGCCAGTGCGGGTATAAAGCGGAAGCGAGGGCACACACATAGGCTTTATGCTGAGGAGCCGGACGGTGTCCAGTCCTCCGCAAAGGTACAGCAAGCATGGCGACGGGACGAGATGTCTCCGTTCCCTCCTCAGGAAACGAGGGTTACCATACGTAACCGAGATGTTATTTTTCGTTCGGGAGCTCCTATGTCTTGTCGGAGGGGTTTCCAATGAATTGGAATACCATAATAAAACGCCATGGTGCTGGCCCCTTCCAGCACCCAGCTTAGCTTCCCACCAAAGTAGTTTCTTAGTTTTCTTTACGGCAGGAGCTAGCTAGGAAGAATCACACTGCTGTTCTGCAAGAGCCGCTCAGTGGATTTTGGATAAAACTGGGGAAGCGTGCCCAACCCGTAGGAGGGAACACTGCAGAGCCCCTGCCCGCCCGAAGGGAGGCACTGGAATAGACATATGTTCTAATCCGTGGGGTAATGAAACATGGCAGTCCCTGAGGTAGTCACAGAACAGGTCGACAGAACAGCTCTGTCGAGGGGAAGAGACAGAGCTAACCTGGAGGGTAGCTGGAGCGTGGAAAAATCCGACGAAAATCAGACTCATAAGCCCGGACGATAGCATCCACTAACCAATGGGCTAACCTCTGCTTGGAGACAGCCTTCCCCTTCTGCTGTAACAGACGAAGAGCTGATCTGAGGTCCTGAAGCTTTGCGTTCTGTCCACATAACAACGCAGAGCATGGACGGGACAGAGTAAAGTTAGGGTTGGGTCTGCCTCCTCCGGGGGCAGTGCTTGCAGGTTCAATACCTGATCTACAAACGAAGTGGTAGGAACCTTGGGCACATATCCGAACCGGGGTCTCAGAACAACGTGAGAAAGACCCGGTCCGAAAGTCCTGCATGTCAATATTCATTGGCTTGTTTTAATTCACTCGAAGGCAATTGGTCTTCCTAGCGTGATCCCAATTCATTGGAAACTCCTCCAACGAGATGTAGGAGTTCCCGAACGAAAGGGCACTGTGAAAACAACTGTATCAATCGATATAAAATCAATCAAAATTCACTCAAACACCTCATATGCTCACCAAAATTATCAAAAATATATGCATTTAAAAAAGTAATGAAATAGTATTATAATTTATAAGTAACTGTTTTTGTTGAAATATATTTTCAAATGTATTTAATATATTCCTGTGATGGCAAAAGCAGAATTTTCAGCATCATTACTCCAGTCTTCAGTGTCACATTTTTTTTTTGTTCAGGATTCTTTGCAGTACTTTTGTAACATTATAAATGTCTTATTGTCACTTTTGGTCAATTTAATGCATACTTGCTGTAGAAAAATTGTAATTCTTTAAAAAAAAAATTTCCACAAACCTTTGAACAGTAAATGTGTTTATCAAAAATAAAATAAATTACACTTGAAAATACAACATTCATTTATGTGTGAGACTAGACAAGTCTTTTTTTTTTCAATGCCAGTTTAAAAGATGTCCCCTCATTGCAACTCTCAAGCTGATTAATACTCTTTAAGCTGATTAAGAAATAAGTGAAACTGGGTTTGTAGGTGGCAAAAATTGTCCTGAATTTGGCATTTGGAATATGCTATGTAAGGGGATGTGGATCTCACTAAAGGATTAATGGCAGATAGGAAGGGAAATGAGAGTAAGAGGGGATTTACTCACTAACACACTTCTGCCTTTAACTATCTTGTTAGCTCAGCATCGGTGGTATCACAAAGGCACTTATTGTCAATTGCAGGAATTTGAGTGTGATATAAGTTCCTTTTTTGAAGCAATTGATGTCTGTGACCACTTCCATGAATGAGTTATGTTTAGTTAAAAGGCTTTTAATTCAATGACACATGTCATAGCCAACAATTGTCTGAAAATTTGGGTCATCGTTTAACATGGTTTGCAGCATCTGAGCAACACCAGACTAATTATGTTGAATGAAACTGTTAATATCTGTCTTTTCTCAGAGCTATAATGACAAACACACCTTTGTGGTTTTCGACCAGGCATGTATACAAAGCACTAGTTCTGCTCCTGATGTGTGAGCACCTCAAATCCTCAGCAAATATCGGTTCCTTCAAAAATGTTGGCTCACAGGAACTATCCAACTTAAGCAACAACAACAAAAAAAAGTTCTATTGCTGAGATTTTATAAATACACCCATAACCAAAGGCTGGTGTGCATGCCGTGGCAATCCAGCCTAGCATCTTTGAGTTTTATTACAGGGGCTCACTGCGCCTAAAAAAACTGAAGCACGGTGAAATCATTCATTTTCTGGTCTGATGTCATCTCAGACTCTCCATAATTGCCGGAGTCCGGCGTCTTGTGTCTATAATTGGTAGAGACACCGCAAACTCTCTGAGAAGACACTGTAGGTGGGTACTGGTTGATTCATTATTTTGTCGTAAAATTGAAGTGGGAGGTCATCAAAAGGAAAACCATTTTTCAAGTTTCTTCTTTCTTTCTCGTTTTTTTTCACTGTGGTTTGAAAACTGGGCCTTCCAGGCAAATTCTACTTGTTGTCTGTCTGTTCCAGTTGAACTGGTAGCAGTTGCTGACTGATGTGGGGTGCCTGAAAAGGGTAATGATATATCTGTTTCCCAGAAATCTGCTGTAATTCAGCACATTTTAAACGTATGCTGATAATTTTATATAATTTATGCACCCATCGAAGCCATAGAGGTTATTCAGGGTGAAGACATTGGAGAAAGCACACACTTGCAAGGTAGGTAAGACGAAGTGATGAATATTTGTATATACGACAGTATGAAAAGTTGCTGGTGTTATGATGAAAGTCCATATTCGCCGTGTTATTTTGGAAAGATGTCACTGAGCTTTATTTCAGCCTCTCAAACATGCTTTGCATATTAACAATAACAATTAGACATACAGGCCCCACAACACAATTTTCCCATTGAAAGAGTGTGATGAAAAGTGTAGGAGGGTTAATGTGTTAATAGCCAAATAGTGTCTACATTCCAGGTTGTTTAAAGCTTAAGTGTCAGTGAATATTCTCTATATTACCGCAGGAAATACAATGTTAATTCATCAAAGGGAGAATGTTGACTGACACTCTTCCCATTTTTATTTAAAATATACCATGAAAGTGAATAGTCAGCCAATAACATTCTGCCAAACTAAGAAAGAACGTTAAAGGGGTAGGAGTAGGCTACATAAGTTTTACTTCTACATGTAAATAAACTTTTTTACTGGAAAGTATGGAGTTATATTTTGTTGTTCATCTGATTTTATTACCATTATTTTTTTCTCATAACGTTTTAAAATTATATTTACATGTTCAAAATAAAAATATCAATCAATCAATCAATCAATCAATCAAAAAAAGTCATGGGAAATGAGTTTGAGTAAATGATAATAATTTGTGAGTAAACTATCTCTTAAGTTCGCTGCCCTGCTTCACAGGCATAGGGGTTCACAGCAGATGCAACCGTCAGAGTACATTAATATATGACACAGTGTTGCCATCTGCTGCTGCTTAACTGTAAAACATGTCGAGTTTGTATTGCGTACTGCGTAGTCTATTGAACTAAATGCCTCGGACGGTCTGATGTTTTTGAGGTATGCTTGCAAATGTCCAGACAAGACGCGCGTGAGTGAAATTGGAGTTACTCAATGAACCTTTAAATAACAGACGTTATTTTATTCCTTATTTCCAAGTTACTACGTTATATACTAATTTTGAATTCAGCAGAAGAAAGAATTTCATAGTAGTTTCCTATGTATATATTCAAAAATAGACATAAAATACAATAGACCCTTACAAAGTTCATGGTGTGTCCTTTCTAAAAATCCTTATATCGCCCCCTGGTAGCATCTATATTTAGGAATTGTCATAAATCTAAATGAAATTGATTGACAACTCCGACTGTCCCGAAGGCCCCGCCCCCCGACTCAACTGGCCGTGCAGGAGCAACTTATGCGTGGGAACAAAACTTCGTACATTTCGCTGAATTAATACGATTTATGTGACATAACGTATTATAAACACATCTCATTTTCACTTACAGCGTATTAATGCGCACACAATGTCACGAGAGGAGGACCTGTTGCGGATTGCTAAAAAACTAGACAAGATGGTGTCTAGAAATAACATGGTGAGATCCTAATTTTGACGCAACGCTTTACGCGGTTTGTTTGTGAGATCACTGCGCATGCTGCTTATGAATAACTAGTTTAAACTTTTTTGCATGTGCATTTGCGCGTTTTAATTCTGCTTCATTAAGATATGGCGTGCACAAGCCTTCTGTAATTTAGTTGCAAGTGAGAGACGTGTTTGTAATAGGACTACAGAGACGCATGCGAGTGACAACAGGTGTTGGCTGAGGATTGAGCCGATTTACTTTAGATTTATTCAGGGCAGCAACAAGAACAACGACCAAAGTTGGTCATTATAGAGAGTTTAGTTGACGTTCTATGCAGGTTTTTGTACTTAACAGCATGTATGTTCTGAATTTATCGTAGTAAATGGCACAAGGTCGAGTAGGCGGTGTGTGTTTTGGCCGACTCGAATAGTTTTACGCGCATGAGCACAGTATTTAAAGGGATAGTTCACCCAAAAATGAAAATGAAACTTCTGCCATATTTTACTCACCTTCATGTTGTTTCAAACCGGTATGAATTTATTTGATTTGTAATTTTTTAAAGTGTTGCTATAATGTCTGAGAACAGTAAAATTAACAGTGAAAAACAAGTAAAATACATGAAACCATTTAAAAAAAAATCATAACAGTTACTTAGTTAAGTAATTTAATAATTGTTAATCTCCCTGCTTGTGTAGGATGGAGCTCTAGATCTTCTGAGAGAATTGAAAAATTTCAACATGACACTAAAGCTTCTTCAGGTATGTCTGGATCAATTGTATTGGCATATATTTTTGATCCCTGTAGGAAAATATAGCTGCAAATCAAAGGTATCACAAATAGCGATATAAACACACAATGCAATCAATATGGTCAATGCAAATAAAATATCAATGTTTGAGTAATATGGAGAGATTTATAATTAAAGTTTTATTTTTTTAATTTTGTGTGAGACTGATGAATGATAAAACATTCATGCACAAATGCATCTGTTCTTGTTCATGTCATCATTGGTTGTCTTATATCTCTTGCTTCTGTTTGTCTAACATTTAGTATTTACTTTGTTCCAGGATACAAGAATCGGCATGTCTGTGAACGGAATAAGGAAACATTGCACAGATGAGGATGTTGTCAACTTGGCAAAGATTCTTATCAAAAGCTGGAAGAAGCTTTTAGGTAAGGGTAATATGTTAATGAATGAAATCTTAAAATCAGAGACAGATCAAACTGACTCCAAATCCCATTGAAAAAAAAAAGGTTCATAATACCTAATATAATTAATGTTATTCACATATGCAGTATAACATAGTCTGGCTTAATAATGTTAAGTTATATGCCTTTTGTCTTTGTCAGAATCAGCTGACAAAAATCAAAAGTCTGAGAGGACAAATGAGGTGAAGAATGGCAATCATCCAAGCAAGGCATCAGGGTCACCCAATAGGACTTCTCCTGAAAGAGAGTCCAGGTATGTTTGCTAATAACAGGGTAAAACATGGAAGTGTTCCAGACACTTTTTTGTACAGTGTAATTGAATGCTTTAGGAACCTCTTCCTAAAAGCCGACAAGAGAGTGGCCCATTTTGCTACTAACATTGATTTACGCAGAGGTTGAAGCTAGCAAAGTGGTTTGCGTCATGAAGTATAACCTGTTTATCTCGTCAGTCCACGAAGATCGACAACGGAAATTAAACCACACTTAGACTCCAACAAGAAACGAGATGAAAAACACAGAAGAGAGAAACGAGATGCAGAGCTCAGGAACAGAAAACAAGAAAGTGATCCGAAAAAAGGGAAACAATCTATTAACAATAAAAAGGAGCTAGAGAGGTGAGAAGGCCCACTGCTGTATAAAGTCGCTCTGCTCATCCCAAACTATGCCATTAGATTTTTACGTGTATTCTGTTTAGGAAAGATGCATTGAACAGTGATCATCTTCCCTCCGGAAGGACGCATTCATCTCCGCCCATCAAGTGTCCTCCTCCATCTATGGAAGTGAAGAGGGAGAGGTTAGGGCTTGTGCATGCGGTTGAAGCATGTGACTGTGATTAGGAGGAAGCACTTGTACTACATAAAAAAAAAAACAGAACATGAAGCCATATTATTATGGTGAAAGTATCAGCGTTTCAAACTCATTTCTGATTATCTAGGAGGAAAGTTTAAAATGTCACAAACTAACAAGGTCATTAAAGTTGCATGAATGGCATTTTTTTCTGAACATTTCGTTAACATTGTAGTTTTTCTGGCCATAGTGTTAAGCAAAAATCCGAATTTAAACCAGTCCGGAGTTGTTCCTCTTTGTCGCCATCTCTGTTTGAAATCTGTAATTGCAGTCATTCGTGGAATTATCAACTTTACGTGAGTTGTACTTCGACACCCTCAACACGGCACAGCGTGCACCGCAACGAGGTGGATAATGACATTCAGAATCACAGATTATTCTTTTTGGAAGTATGACCAACATAAGAATTTTTACCAGAAAATGTCATCTGAACTAGTAAGAAATCCCCCAGTACCACTGGACTTAAAAACATTATTACAAGCTTATTTCTTTGAATCGAACTATGCCAAGCAGATAGCATTGAACACTGGCTGGTTATGTATTTTCTCAAATATGTATTTTGGATGATGTTTAACCCAAAAAAAAGCTACGTACTGCAGCTTTAAGAATTGACTTTCAATTTGTGTTGAATTCAGTTTGAATTGAACAGAAAGTGGAATTTACTGAATGTATTTACATAGTCACACAATGGAGGAATTTCATTATTTTTCCAACAAAACAAAAATGGTAAATTTCATTATTAATTTTTTGGACTAATTATGCCTGTTTCCCTTCCAGATTTCTAAAATATATATTTTTTTACATGAATTAGATTAAAATTAGATTTAACTTAAAGTTAAATACTCAAACATCAAAACAATAAAATGAAGGAAAAAAAATTCTCGACAGTACAACAAAATGTCCAACATGTTATAGTTTAAAAATTACTCTACGTAATCATTTATATAATCCTTAAATTACAATTATACATCATTTTTGCTACCTCAATTAAAAATCAGGAATATCCTTAAAGTGATATTCCACTTTTTTTGGAAATAGGCTCATTTTACCACTTTCCAAAAAAGTGGAGTATCCCTTTAACATATTCTTAAATCTGAGTGGTGCACAAGCCTGTTGACATAATTTTGTTTTACTTTTCCCACTTGTATGCTGGGCTAGCAGAGTTGCAATGTAAGATGTATTTTTACTTTTGTTTAGGAAAGATGCTCCCGTTGATTTTTTCCCTCCTGCTTCAATCATTTCTCACCCTCCTCTAAGACGCTCATCAGTAGATGTAAAGAAAGAGAGGTCAGAGCTTTATGCATGTGTTAGTTAAGAACACGTCATTGTAGTGTGATCTACAGTGTTAGCTAATACAGCAAAAACAAAAGTACACTACCTTTCAAAAGTTTGGGTTCAGTACTCTCTTTTTTTATATAAATACTTGAATTCAGCATGGAAATATAGATTTGAACAAAAGTGACATTAAAGACAGACATCTATAATATTACAAAAGATTTGTTTCAAATACATGCTGTTCTTTCAAACTTTCGATTCATCAAAGAATCCTCAATAAAAAGTGCCCACAAAAATATTAAGCAGCACCACTGTTTTCTACATTGATAGTAATGAGAAATGTTTCTTGAAAACCTCAGCATATTAAAATGATTTCTGAAGGATCATGTGGCACTAAAGACTGTAGTAATGATGCTGAAGATTCATCACTAGAATAAATCCCATTTTTTTTAAATATACAGAAACATTAAAAAATCTTAATGACCCCACATTTTTGAACAGTAGTGTACATGGAGTTCAAATGCTGAATTTGGATGTTTACATTTCTTACACAGAAAAGACACTCTGGTTTCCTTACAATCTTGTCCTCTTCAGTCTCATTCTACTAAACGCCCCTTCTCAGATGGAAAGAAAGAACGGTTAGGCAGTGTGCTATAAGTTCATGCAGTGTGTGACGTCAAAATATCTGATTTCATTTTGAATCAACACTGCAATGAGCCTGGCTTTTTTTTTTTTTGCAGGAGAGACACACATGAACTTTTTCCTCTTCATAATCACTCTCATCCTCCTCTTCCTCCTCCTCCTCCTATTCCTATCCCTAAGCGCTCATCAGAGGTGAAGAAAGAAAGGTCAGGGATTGCTCTCAGGAGAATGTGTTCATAATTTGTATTATTTATAAAAAAATGTAGTAAATATCCAACAAAGGGGGTCACCACTAAATATCTATTTTCACAGGAGAGATCCTTCTGAAACTTTACATCCTCCTGCTTCTATCCTTTCTCTTCCTCCGCCTGCTCCTCCTCCTCCCAAACATTCATCAATAGATGAGCACAGAGAAAGGTCTGAACACTTTTCAGTTCAAGTTCATGGCCCTCTTTTTTGATAAAGAGATTTTTTTAGTGAAGACAAGAGCACAATATTCTATATTATTATTACTTTAGTTTGTTTTTTGTTTGTTTTATTTTGTAAAATAATAGGGTTGGCTCTTAATGATTCAGTATTCAATTGGTGTAAAATTGTAAATTATAATTTCTAGTTCACAAGAGCTGACCTAGTATTGCCAGAAGCGCACGTTTTTCCCCTTGTTCTCATTTTAATGCCACATTGGAATTGTATATTTGTTGCCTAGGGTAAAGAAAGCAATTGATCTGAATGCCCCTCTTCCTCCTTTACCTTTCCATCTACATCCTCCTCAGAAACGAGAGATGAAGAAAGAAAGGTTAGGGCTTGGTTTGTTGTCAAGTAAACAAAGTACTTTCACTCGCTTTGTTTTAGCGTAACACTGTTCTAACAAAGCGCAGTGTTTGTCTCATAAATAATCAGTGACTTTCTTTGCTTAGAAAAGAAACAGCGGATCCCAGTTCTCCTCTCCCTCCTGTTCCTCTCCATCTTCAACCTACACCTACAAAACGTCCTTCGTTAGACACAAATAAAGACAAAGAGAAAGAAAGGTTAGGGGCAGAGGAAATGAAAAGCATGCTGACATGAATATCTGTGTGCCTGTGTTTTTACTTAATTACTTCACCATCTGAAGAATAACAACAACTGTTTTACTATAGAAAAGACACATCAGACCCGAAGCGACGGATGTCTGAACACAATGAGAAAGATAGGTCTGAAATATGATGAATACTAACCCTTGAACAACACCATTGTTGAGTGAAATTATACTTAAAAGTTGCAGTGTGGTGTTATTCATTTAAAGGGATGGTTCTCCCAAAAATAATACTTTTGGCATCATTTACCCTCATTTTGTTTTAAACCTGTATGACTTACTTTCTTCTGTGGAACACTAAAGGAATATCTTGAACACTGCTTTCATGCTTCATAAAAGTCTTCCGAATGACTTTTGTGTTATATTCAAAGAAAGTCACACAGGTTTGGAATGACTAGAATGACTAGATGATGTTTTTTAATGGCTTGATGTGATAATAATTTGTCGCATCCCAAAATGCTGAGGTGATTTTTTCTTTCTCAGACAAAACACAAGAGACAGTAAACCACTTAAAAGACCGTCAATGAAGCTCAAGATTGAGAGGTTTGAATTGATGCTTTGCAACAGAATGTAGGCAGAGGGCAGCAGAAGTGCATGCATTGTTGTCATTTTGTCTTGGGAGTTTGAGGATGAGGGCAATTTGCAAGACTTGTGGATTCTTTGTTCATTAAAACAGTATAATTTGTCACCAAAATTCCCTACTCTGCTTTTATTCCTAGAAGGGACTCCACGGATTCCAAAAAGCTCCATCCTAGAAAGTCGAGCATGGAAGGACGGAGAGACAGGTCTGCTCATGCATTACTAAAAATAAAAGAAAACATATAGAAGACCAAATAAAATGGTTACTGACCATCAGGCATTTGTGTTTTGCTCTTTTACCATAGTAAGGACTCTACTGACTCCAAATCAAGCCATCACCTTTTGAAACGACAATCAAGTGAAACTAAATTGGAGAGGTAACTTGTTATAGTAATGCAGTTGGTCTTGCAATGAAATCTTCAAGTATCCAACATAGGGATGTGTTCCAATTTCATTAACGTTTAAAATAAAATTTGATTACCAACTGGTGGGCTTGTCTAACAAACCCCTAGAAGATAGTAAAAAAAAAAACAGTCTATATACAATAGGTCTGTTCCGATCTGTTCTTGTTAAGCAGTCTATGTTTCAATTATAATGTTTCTCCTTTAAACTGGAATCAAATTTCATACCAGTATATAGACCCACATAACCTGTTGTGAAACAAGCTGTAAGCATTGCAAGCTTATTTCCAATGTCGACTAGCAGCCATACTGTTTAGTTGACTAGTCTCGCACATCCCTTATCCAAACCTACTGATCCTTTACAAAGATAAATGCATGACTTTCTTGTTCATCACAGAATGCATACTTTAAACTCTCATGTGTTATTTCTCCAGGAGAGATTCTACTAACTCAAGGTCTGGCAACTCACCCCAGGCCAAGAAGTCTAGTGAAAGGCAAGAACTATACTTTACTGTTTTTTATTATTTACTCATTTTGATGTGACCAGCATGCCATATGGCGTTATTTCAGTATTATGTAAGATGAGACAGTATTATGTCTCATCCTTTTGGATGGGCTCAGATATACTTAGAATTCTGCCTGCTTTAAATTCCAGTTATAATACAACACAAAATCCCAAAGTCATTCAAATCATGACTAACAAATTCTGAAAATAATGTTCACAGACAGCAGTGATCAATGATTCTGTTGGGATTTTGGAACATTCTATCTTTAAATAATTGTCACATGGTCAATAAAGACGCCTGCTTTTTGTTTTTCCCTTACAGCAAGAGTAAACCAGAGACCCCAAAGACACCCACAACACCCACAAGCCCTCTCTCTCCGTCGCTTAGCTCCAGTGTGGGTCCTTTATCTCCTCGTCTGCAAACCGGGGATTCCATCAGGGACAAATGTATTGAAATGCTGACCGCCGCACTACGTACAGATGGTACGCAAAACAAACTCTTGACACCCGCACGGAGTCTGACCTGCATCACAGACATACTGAAATATATTGTTTTGATACTCATTATTGTGGAGATGATGCTCACAATATGCTTTTCTTTCCTATTAGATGACTACAAAGACTATGGGACAAACTGTGAGGGCATGGCAGCTGAAATCGAGGATTATATCCTTGGTGGACATTATTGGTTGACAATTGCTTTGAAAATTAGTGTGAAACTCACACTAGTGAAACAATTGCTTAAAATTCAAAAGTAGATATCCTTAACTGTCCTACATATCTACCAGGAGATAAGAGCCACAGACATGAAATACAAGAACAGAGTCCGCAGCCGCATAAGTAACCTGAAGGATCCCAAAAATCCCAATCTCCGTAAAAATGTCTTAGCTGGAGCCATCGAGTTGAGCCGCCTGGCCACCATGACTGCTGAGGTAGATTGCACATTTTGGACCTCTTAAATATTTTCATTTTATAAATTATAACGAAATAATAAAACTAAGTTAATATGAAAGTCTCACCAATGCTGCATTTTATTTGAAAATGCATTAAAAATACAGTACAAACAGTAATATTGTAAAAATATTATTGCAATATAAAATAACTGCTTGCTTATTGAATCATTTTTAAAATGTAATTTATTCCTGTGATGACAAAGCTACATTTTCAGTATCATTACTCAACCATTCAGTGTCACATGATCTAACAGAAATGACATTCTAATATCTGATTTGGTGCTCAAGATTTCAGTAAGCAGTTGTGCTGCTTTATATTTTTGTGGAAACCATCATGTTTTAAGGGTAAATAGAAAGTTCAAAAGAAATATAAATGTATGTTTAAGTATTTACTGTCGTGGTTTGATCAGTTTAATGCATTCTGACTGATTAAATGTATCAATTCCTTGTAAAATCAATCTTACTGAACCCTTTGAATGGTAGTGCAAGTTACTCTTTCTTACCCCATTTGCCCAAAATGTTCTGATAGTTATGTTTTAAACAAGAATTACATTATTAGATATTAGATGTTCCATTGTACTGTATAAACGGGAGCATTTGTTTGTTTACAGTGCAATGTTGCAAAAATTAACTGTCGTCAAACAAATATATTCTACCTAGAAGGATGATGCAGTATATCAGAAGCCGATCTGCTGTCTATAAATGAACACTATGTTCTTGCTGTTGTAGGAAATGGCTAGTGATGAACTAAAACAGTTGAGGAACGTGTTGACCCAGGAGGCTATCCGAGAACATCAGATGGCAAAGACTGGAGGAACCTCGACTGACATGCTGCAGTGTGGCAAGTGCAGGAAGAAAAACTGCACCTACAACCAGGTAAATCGATGAAACAGCATTTTCTAATATTACTGGATTTTTAGCTGTAGATATTTATAGTGCATATAAACCTAGTATGCAAAGTTATTTCAATTGTTGTGAAAATAAATATATTGAGTATGTTTTAAACCTTCACAGGTGCAAACTCGGAGTGCTGATGAACCAATGACCACCTTTGTGCTGTGCAATGAATGTGGTAATCGCTGGAAGGTCAGAAAAAATATGTTTTGGCTTATATATTTTATTTTATTTTTTATATAAACCAATCATCTTACGTCCAGTAGAGCAATGTAAGTAACAAGTGTCTTTCAATATTTTTTTTTCTAGTTCTGCTAACTTGAAGCCAGGAGTCCAACAACATTGACCATGTAGCAGTGGCAAGGCCAGAAATTTAAAAGTGAGCGGACCTTGGTGAAATAGGGTGGACCAATCCCTACTCTCAAATTACATGAATTTTAAAAATAGTTTGACAATTAAGTTGAGTTAAATGTGATTATATTTTCAGCCAACAGTTTCATGAGAATAACAAAATCAACTATCCTGTGAACGTAATAGGGACAGTAAACGAAGATAAATAATCATAGACATAGTATGTGTAAGGCTGAGCAAGGCTTACCCTTCCCCTGGCCGAGGGAATTTTCTCTCTCAAATCACTGACTTCTGCTGCTTCTCATTGCTTTTAGAGGGAAAACTGCCCATAACTGGTGGTCTACGATCGGTTTTCTCTGTAATAATAGCATATTGGTAATTTGGCAAATGATACAGTGCATATCTGTGTTTGTGCTCTGGAGAGTGTCGAAGGTTTCTATTTACAATGTGTTTTTTTTTTACATCGTTGAGTAATGCAGCCAATCACAGACATATCTGTTGATTTCTTGAATGCAATGGCCAATCAGAGGTGTTTAGGTTAGAGTCCACTAACCCTGGCCCTTATGTAGCCTTGCCACTGCCATGTAGGATTCCTCATCTTTTTTTAATTTGGAAGAGAAAGTAATATAATGGGTTATTCTACCAGCAAATGGTCCTGAATTTATAATATGTAAATGAATTCTTTAACTTTTACAGAAGTACACAGAGCAAAGAGTGTATATTCATAATTAAAGTGAACATTAATGACTTGGGAGTCAGATGACTAAATCAGATCAAATTCTACTCTTTTATACTGTTTTATGAAATGCCAGTGTTATTTTGTTTTTTTACTTGATTATTAATTGGTTTATTACACAGAATCCTATGGGGTCAGACTTTAAAAAACAATGTGTTGACAAATTGAACATTTAATTAATGAAGAGAATCCTAAACTATCTCAGATGTAGCAGCTATACAGTACAACACAAAAATGCTTTTTAAATGGATCTAAACGTTTTGTTTTAAATAATGCATAAAATATTGTAGAGAAAAATGGCAAAAACTAAAGCAATAATTGTAAAATTCATTTTAATAAATTATGTTGATTTGATTTTTTTGTAGTTTTTTTTTTTTTGCATACTTAAAAAGACCTAATACCATTCAGGCACAGCCATGGTTGTAGAAAGCTCATCAAATATGCTTGGTTTCTTTCCAGTCAGGTGTGACTGAACGCTTGTCAACTTGCCCTAAAACTTTTCATTATTATTTAAATGAAATGAATGTACTATATTTTGTATTTTTTGGTACTAAATTATTTTTATGCTGTAGTTATAATCCATTTTTGAGCAGAGACCTGAAAATGACATTTCCAACGTAAACTGTCATGAATGCTTTGCAGCACAGACTTAAGTTTGGTCTCTTTTTAAAGATGACACTTGTCCGATTATTAAATGAAAAAGGTCAACCGAAAAAAGTTATTGAATAGTTATAAGTTAAAAGTTATTGATATCTCAAATAAATGAGCTTTCAGTAAGATTTTGTTTGGTCACAGTACCAAAATGTTCCACTAGAAATTTGTTTCCCATTCATTTCCAATGCGGTTGTTTTTGACCGTGAGGAGTCAAAGTGTGACACTTTTTTCACCACAATTTAACCTTTTCGAGATTCATATCCATGAATCTTTTTGTTTGTATGTGTGATCACATAGCATTGACATAAAAATGTTTTGGTCAAAAATTACCAAAGAGCACAGATGGTTAAATTGTCCAATGTGGCTATACCATCGAGTTAACATAATGAAATATAAGTAAACAATGCAATCCATTGTCTCAGTTGTTCACAGAATTCCTAAACCATGCTATATTTGTAAAACTAAAAATAAATGTTTATTATTTTAAAATAGAAATAAATTCTCCTTGTACCCTATGACTTTGATAAATGAGCACCCCTAGTTTGAGTGAGAAATTTCAATCTATACTTGTGGGAAATTTGTTTCACTGGCATGTCAAAGTCTGCCCTGTGTGTCATTATTCATGGGCATTTCCTTGTGACGCACTTCTAGCCAAGCTAATGATGCCCCTGTCACTATATTTTGGGTTTAATAAGTACCCTGGTCTCTGCTATCCTCAGTACACTATGTTTGAAATGAGATGAGTAACTCTGTGTGAAATCCCTTTTAGCACTGAATCTTCACTTAAGTTTCATTACTCAGTTTACCAGGGTGCCCGCTCATTAGAAGCGAATTGAATTAAATGCTGTTATTGGATGTTCTGCTTCTGGGAGTATTTCCTGAGGTAAAAAGGAAATGCCACTTAGAGGGATGAAGCAGTGGATAACTATGCCAGGGCTGTGCAGTGTTCAGTTTCTCTAGAAGGCAAGTTATTTCTCTCAGGTTTGAGCTGATAATTGGATACCCTGCAGGTAAGAGAGCCCCTCTTGTCATTTTGATGCTTAGATTTTTAGATAGCCACGGGTATTGCTGTAAGCATCAGGAGGTAAAAATGCAAATGAACACAATAACAGATCAAGGGAAAATGAAAAAAGAAGCCATATTGACATTTCTTAGAAATGATTATGTTGTTTTGCTTAAACTATTGATAAGCAGACGAGGCGTGATAGATGGTTTTTCATATTTACTTGATGACTTGCACATCACAACACTTCAGTGCTACCCGCATGGCCACTTCCTAACTCCGGCTTCCGCACATGCTCCTCACCATGGTGTCATGCTGGGTAATGCTTATAACATCACATCTTACCCCCTACAATGAAATAATATTTACCCCTGTAAAAACATAGCCAGCTTTATATGCTGTTATGTATATGCTCTCGCTTACCTCTCTGCCGTCATGCGCGGTTAGGAGCTCAACCTCTGTCTCGCATGCACACTCGCTATAGATAAGATTACAGGATATTTTGACTAATTTGCGGTAAAACTAGTGGATCGCGAGTGCCTCAACAGATAGACCATCTTTCAGGCTTGACACATCATCGTGAGAAATCAGGAGTGTGGCGTAGCTGAGATATTGAGATATTTATAATGGCATAAATGCTACGTGGGATCTCAATATCTCAGCTCTGGAAGGGTCTAGAGCCTCCATTTTTGCACTCAGGTCTATGTCCCATGGCCCTCTATCAGAATCCAGAGTTTCAGGAAGATCAGAGAAACTCAAAATTTCGACCCCCCCCCAAAAAAAACGACAGTGGTATCCCTGTCGGTTTTTTTTTTTGGTGAGAAAAAAAGTTTCTCCAATCTTCTTGAAACTCTGGATTCTGATAGAGGGCCATGGGACATAGACATGAGTGCAAAAATGGAGGCTCTAGACCCTTCCAGAGCTGAGATATTGAGATATTTATAATGGCATAAATGCTACTTGGGATCTCAATATCTCAGCTCTGGAAGGGTCTAGAGCCTCCATTTTTGCACTCAGGTCTAAGTCCCATGGCCCTCTATCAGAATCCTGAGTTTCAGGAAGATCAGAGAAACTCAAAATTTCGACCCCCCCCCAAAAAACGACAGTGGTACGTACCCCTGTCGTTTTTTTTTTTTTGTGCGAAAAAATAAGTTTCTCCAATCTTCTTGAAACTCTGGATTCAGATAGAGGGCCATGCGACTTAGACCTGAGTGCAAAAATGGAGGCTCTAGACCCTTCCAGGGCTGAGATATTGAGATCCCACGTAGTATTTATGCCATTTTAAAAAAATAGTGAGTTTGTGGACGGTGGAATTATGTGATGGCGCTTGGTGCTATGGACTCAGGTGCCCCAGCTGAGTGCAGTAAACTAGTTTTTATCATGAAAGAAACTTTAATTAAAATGTGATGGTTACTTTTATTTGTATTTTTTGGACAAACAAATGCATATACAAGTCAACAACACATGAAACAAAGCTTTATTCAAAGTACAAGCATGTATTTACAGGCGCTGAACACCACATCCTACTGCAAGCGCTTCACAATCTGAGGCAATAAGGGCAGGTGGAGAGATGGAGGGACTCATAAGGGCAGATGGAGAGATGGAGGGTCTCATTCATGGGACCACTTCCAGGCTCTGGGTTCCTCATCCTCAGTGCTCACACCAGTCTGCAGACATTTCAGATCCTACAAACATTACACAAAAGCAGTAATTTTAACAACACAATGTCATTTGATTTATGTATTAAAAACAGCCTTACTTTATATTTGAATAAATTCCCTAAAACCTTTTTCCCCCAACAAATGCTGCCACCATCTTTCCTTGCAGGTCCTGGTCCACCACAAAAGCTCTGCACTCTGCAGCAAATGCACAGAAATCAGGAATCAGAAAAGTGTTGTAATTTCTCCATTTGAAATTACAATCATTCAAATAAACTACAACTTAAGATTTAATGTTGTTATCCATTTCTGTAGTACACTCACTCAAATCCTTTGATGACATGATTCAGCATCATGAGCCTCTTCTCCACTGGATAAACACACGCGTGTTCTCCTGTCCCTGAAACATACAGACAAGATTCACATTATGAGCTCAACACAGCATTTACATGCTGGGATTCTGATAGAGGGCCATGAGACTTAGACCTGAGTGCAAAAATTGAGGCTCTAGACCCTTCCAGAGCTGAGATATTGAGATATTTATAATGCATAAATTCTACGTGGGATCTCAATATCTCAGCTCTGGAAGGGTCTAGAGCCTCCGTTTTTGCACTCAGGTCTAAGTCTCATGGCCCTCTATCAGAATCCAGAGTTTCAAGAAGATTGGAGAAACTTTTTTTTCCACACCAAAAAAAAAAAAACGAACACTGTCGGGTTTTTTTGGGTCAAAAAATTTAGTATCTCCGATCTTCTTGAAACTCTGGATTCTGATAGAGGGCCATGAGACTTAGACCTGAGTGCAAAAATGGAGGCTCTAGATCCTTCCTGAGCTGAGATATTGAGATATTTATAATGCATAAATGCTACGTGGGATCTCAATATCTCAGCTCTGGAAGGGTCTAGAGCCTCCATTTTTGCACTCAGGTCTAAGTCTCATGGCCCTCTATCAGAATCCAGAGTTTTGAGAAGATTGGAGAAACTTTTTTTTTTCACAAAAAAAACCCCGAAAGGGGTAACACTGTCGTTTTTTTTTTTTGGGTCAACATTTTGAGTATCTCCAATCTTCTTGAAACTCTGGATTCTGATAGAGGGCCATGAGACTTAGACCTGAGTGCAAAAACAGAGGCTCTAGACCCTTCCAAAGCTGAGATATTGAGATACAACGTAGCATTTATCCATTATAAATATCTCAATATCTCAGCTCTGGAAGGGTCTAGAGCCTCCGTTTTTGCACTCAGGTCTAAGTCTCATGGCCCTCTATCAGAATCCAGAGTTTCAAGAAGATTGGAGAAACTTTTTTTTTCACACCAAAAAAAAAAAAAAAAAAACGAAAGGGGTACGTACCACTGTCGTTTTTTTTTTTGGGTCAAAATTTTGAGTATCTCCGATCTTCTTGAAACGCTGGATTCTGATAGAGGGCCATGAGACTTAGACCTGAGTGCCAAAATGGAGGCTCTAGACCCTTCCAGAGCTGAGATATTGAGATCCCACGTAGCATTTATGCCAGTGTTCGAATTACAGGGGAGCTAAGGTGAGCTCGGCTCCCCTGAAAAGGACCTGGGCTCCCCTGAAAGCCTACTTTGAGACATTTAGGAGGAGCTCTAACACTGTCCCTTTTTTGTGTCGCATATATTTTGATTTTCTGTACATTAAGGTTCCTGAAATAAATGATGATATTAAAAATGTGTCAGTGTTTATTCCCTCAATTGTATTTCCGAACATCTGTCTCCACTAATAAATGCAATGGGCGTGGTTCAGCGAAGTCTGTAGTAGGAGAGTGGGGAGGGGATGGAGCCGAGCGGTGAATAAGTGAGTCAAGTTCAAATGACAAACATCTGTCTGTGATTTCAGTAAAATTTCAATCTTGGCGTGAGGAGACCGCATATAAGCGGGCCGTGCTGACATTAGTGTGTGAGAGAGAGACTGGGAGCTCGTGCACGTATCCTGAGAGAAAGTGACTTCTGAAAGCTGTATCCATCGGAAAGAGTGGGTCTATACCCTTTAGCCTATCCAGTGAAGCTGGTTTCAGCGAGAAGAGGATTACTACATCTGTATCCAGAAAGCTGTGTCCAGCGGAAAGAGTAACCTATTAATTATCATCTGTTTCTGTTGCCTTTTTGATATTTTTAGTTAATGTTATTTGAGCGCGACCAGGCGCTGTAAAAGAGCCTTGTAAATAAAAGTGCACGAGTTCCAGCATTTGCCGACCCTGTGTCTCCTTCCATCACCCACACACAACGAACCTGTTTTGCATCACACTATTGTTTTAAATGCCCGAACATGCACCAAAAAGTGTTAAAGTCAGTCAGGGAGGATCGGAAAATAGGGCTCCCCCGAAAGCCACTTTGTAATTCGAACCCTGATTTATGCATTATAAATATCTCAATATCTCAGCTCTGGAAGGGTCTAGAGCCTCCATTTTTGCACTCAGGTCTAAGTCTCATGGCCCTCTATCAGAATCCAGAGTTTTGAGAAGATTGGGGAAACTTAATTTTTCACCCCCCCCCCCCCAAAAAAAAACCCGTAAGGGGTAACACTGTCGTTTTTTTTTTCTGGTCGAAATTTTGATTTTTGATATCTCAGCTCTGGAAGGGTCTAGAGCCTCCATTGTTGCACTCCGGTCGAAGTCTCATGGCCCTCTATCAGAATCCAGAGTTTTGAGAAGATTGGGGAAACTTAATTTTTCACCAAAAAAAAAAAAAAAAACGTAAGGGGTAACACTGTCGTTTTTTTTTCTGGTCGGAATTTTGATTTTTGATATCTCAGCTCTGGAAGGGTCTAGAGCCTCCATTGTTGCACTCAGGTCTAAGTCTCATGGCCCTCTATCAGAATCCAGAGTTTTGAGAAGATTGGGGAAACTTAATTTTTCGCCCCCCCCAAAAAAACATAAGGGGTAACACTGTCGTTTTTTTTTCTGGTCGAAATTTTGATTTTTGATATCTCAGCTCTAGAAGGGTCTAGAGCCTCCATTATTGCACTCAGGTCGAAGTCTCATGGTCCTCTATCAGAATCCAGAGTTTTGAGAAGATTGGGGATACTTAATTTTTCGCCCAAAAAAAAAAAACGTAAGGGGTAACACTGTCGTTTTTTTTTTCAGGTCGAAATTTTGATTTTTGATATCTCAGCTCTGGAAGGGTCTAGAGCCTCCATTATTGCACTCAGGTCGAAGTCTCATGGCCCTCTATCAGAATCCAGAGTTTTGAGAAGATTGGGGATACTTAATTTTTCGCCCAAAAAAAAAAAAAAAACGTAAGGGGTAACACTGTCGTTTTTTTTTCTGGTCGAAATTTTGATTTTTGATATCTCAGCTCTGGAAGGGTCTAGAGCCTCCATTGTTGCACTCAGGTCGAAGTCTCATGGCCCTCTATCAGAATCCTTTTGGGGAAACTTAATTTTTCGCCCCCCCAAAAAAAACGTAAGGGGTAACACTGTCGTTTTTTTTTCTGGTCAAAATTTTGATTTTTGATATCTCAGCTCTGGAAGGGTCTAGAGCCTCCATTGTTGCACTCAGGTCGAAGTCTCATGGCCCTCTATCAGAATCCAGAGTTTTGAGAAGATTGGGGAAACTTAATTTTTCCCCCCCCCCCCCCCAAAAAAAAAAAAAAAAACGTAAGGGGTAACACTGTCGTTTTTTTTTCTGGTCGAAATTTAGATTTTTTATATCTCAGCTCTGGAAGGGTCTAGAGCCTCCATTGTTGCACTCAGGTCGAAGTCTCATGGCCCTCTATCAGAATCCAGAGTTTTGAGAAGATTGGGAAACTTAATTTTTCGCCCCCCCCAAAAAACGTAAGGGGTAACACTGTCGTTTTTTTTTTCTGGTCGAAATTTAGATTTTTGATATCTCAGCTCTGGAAGGGTCTAGAGCCTCCATTGTTGCACTCAGGTCTAAGTCTCATGGCCCTCTATCAGAATCCAGAGTTTTGAGAAGATTGGGGAAACTTAATTTTTCCCCCCCCCCAAAAAAAAAAAAACGTAAGGGGTAACACTGTCGTTTTTTTTTTCTGGTCGAAATTTTGATTTTTGATATCTCAGCTCTGGAAGGGTCTAGAGCCTCCATTGTTGCACTCAGGTCTAAGTCTCATGGCCCTCTATCAGAATCCAGAGTTTTGAGAAGATTGGGGAAACTTAATTTTTCGCCCCCCCAAAAAAAAACGTAAGGGGTAACACTGTCGTTTTTTTTTCTGGTCGAAATTTTGATTTTTGATATCTCAGCTCTGGAAGGGTCTAGAGCCTCCATTGTTGCACTCAGGTCTAAGTCTCATGGCCCTCTATCAGAATCCAGAGTTTTGAGAAGATTGGGGAAACTTAATTTTTCGCCCCCCCAAAAAAACGTAAGGGGTAACACTGTCGTTTTTTTTTCTGGTCGAAATTTTGATTTTTGATATCTCAGCTCTGGAAGGGTCTAGAGCCTCCATTGTTGCACTCAGGTCTAAGTCTCATGGCCCTCTATCAGAATCCAGAGTTTTGAGAAGATTGGGGAAACTTAATTTTTCGCCCAAAAAAAAAAACGTAAGGGGTAACACTGTCGTTTTTTTTTCTGGTCGAAATTTTGATTTTTGATATCTCAGCTCTGGAAGGGTCTAGAGCCTCCATTGTTGCACTCAGGTCTAAGTCTCATGGCCCTCTATCAGAATCCAGAGTTTTGAGAAGATTGGGGAAACTTAATTTTTCGCCAAAAAAAAAAAAAACGTAAGGGGTAACACTGTCGTTTTTTTTCTGGTCGAAATTTTGATTTTTGATATCTCAGCTCTGGAAGGGTCTAGAGCCTCCATTGTTGCACTCAGGTCTAAGTCTCATGGCCCTCTATCAGAATCCAGAGTTTTGAGAAGATTGGGGAAACTTAATTTTTCGCCCCCCCAAAAAAAACGTAAGGGGTAACACTGTCGTTTTTTTTTCTGGTCGAAATTTTGATTTTTGATATCTCAGCTCTGGAAGGGTCTAGAGCCTCCATTTTGCACTCAGGTCTAAGTCTCATGGCCCTCTATCAGAATCCAGAGTTTTGAGAAGATTGGGGATACTTAATTTTTCGCCCAAAAAAAAAAAACGTAAGGGGTAACACTGTCGTTTTTTTTTTCTGGTCGAAATTTTGATTTTTGATATCTCAGCTCTGGAAGGGTCTAGAGCCTCCATTGTTGCACTCAGGTCTAAGTCTCATGGCCCTCTATCAGAATCCAGAGTTTTGAGAAGATTGGGGATACTTAATTTTTCGCCCAAAAAAAAAAAAAAACGTAAGGGGTAACACTGTCGTTTTTTTTTCTGGTCGAAATTTTGATTTTTGATATCTCAGCTCTGGAAGGGTCTAGAGCCTCCATTGTTGCACTCAGGTCTAAGTCTCATGGCCCTCTATCAGAATCCAGAGTTTTGGGGAAACTTAATTTTTCGCCCCCCCAAAAAAAACGTAAGGGGTAACACTGTCGTTTTTTTTTCTGGTCGAAATTTTGATTTTTGATATCTCAGCTCTGGAAGGG